AATCATTAGGGGAGTTGTCAGTCTCTGACTTGTAAGCTGATACCCACCCTTGGGCTGAATAAAGCCTTATCTGATTTGAAGCTACTACAGACGTTTCTGTTTTGGCTTCCTTATACTCAAGACTTCAAACACTTAAGCTTCCCATAGACATTAGATGATCTTTGCTTGACTCCATTTGGATTGGGAAATGATTGCATGTCTATGAGCTCCTCCTATCTTCTGCAGACATCTCTGAGGCTGGCCATACGCTAGCTGTTTTGAGTTTTGTTGCTCCACTGATTTTGCTATATCCATTTACAGCAAATAATTAATTTCGAGTGATTTGTGTCCGCTTTGAGCCCACATTACTACCCATTAGCATTGAAGAAGGGGGAGGTCTTAGAGCCCCTGAAATGCATCGGCTGTTGTTGTTTATAAACTAATTCTATTATTAAAACATTTTGGACTCTCGAACTGTCTTATTTGGTGCTCCCGTTGGAATTTATATACGTGAATCTTCAAGTTTGGGTCTCCTTGTTTGAGTGACCGTGTTTGTTGAGAGTGGTCTCATCGAAATCATTGTGCTTTATCATGTTCTGGCTGATCTTCTGATTATTTAAATCCAGCGCTTTACCTTGTTCCAGCAAAAATTAACTTAACAGGGGTTCATGTGACTCTTCCACACTCGATTCAAAAAAAAACTCTCCATTATGTGGCATTCAAGCAACTGGTTCTCAAAAAAACTGGGTAAAAAAGAAAATTGAGGACTTATGTTATTTTTTTTTGCAGGTGGCTTGGTGCTCATTAAAAAAAAGTTGGTTGCTTGGTACACAGAAAAAAATGTACTTAGCAACTAAATTATGGAGGTCCTCTCCTCTACTCAGTGGGAAGGGATTCAATAGCCAGCCTGCTATTGGTTATTGCAATTTGAAAATGGCCAATAGCAGTCTGGCTATTGTACCTGGCTGCTTAACTTCACCTGTCGGCTGTGGAAGCTAGGGGCAGGGCGATACCCCAAGGGGTGCTACTTGCTATTAACTCTCAAGAAACCAGAAACTACAGTTATCCTGCACCTACCGATCCCCATGGGTGCTGGATAACTGGGAGTTTACTGTATATACTGTATATGAAGTGCTCACCCCTGAAGGAGCCGTCAGAATAACTCGGGTCATCAATAGTTGTCTAGCGGTTTTGGTCTTCAGCTGCATGGGGCACTAATGGGTAGCACTTAACCACCCTCTTCTAATGCCCACAAAGCAGATATCCACTCCAGTAATGCAATGCTGAATAACTTTTATTAAACATCTTCATACTGGGGAGAGCAGGTTTAGGAGTCCTAGACATCCAGGGTGTAACAGACATAGACTTAGACATAAACTCCAAGTAAAGATAGTAGTCACCAGCACTCACTTGTAATGTGCAAAAAGGATAGCAGAAGTGACGCCCTGAAGAAGTGACCCTGACAACAGCACAGGCCTCCTCCATACTTGAGGCCTAGGGAAACTCTTACCACACTCCAGCATCTGCCCACCCCCAGGCCTTGGACTAGCCTGGGGGGTGGCTGGACAGCACCCAGCCCTGTACTAATCCATGGCTGGTCACGAACTAGACTCGAATGGGCGCATTGCGGAGCCCGGCCTTGGGGCAGCAGGGAGGGTAAATCCGATCCTGGTCACACTCTACCCAGGTAGGTACAGTCAATGCCAGACATCTGGAATTAAACAGATAAATGCATTATATAACAATGCAGAATACCACCAGCTATAGAGGACTACAAATCCCAGCAATGCATTATACAGCAATGCAGAATAATATGAAGCTACATACTCTGCTCAGCAGGGCTGTGCGGTGTCTCAGGAGGCTGTGCTGGGTCTCACCAGGGCTCTGTACAGTCTCACCAGGGTTGTGTGCGGTCTCACCAAGACTGTGTGGGATCTCACCAGGACTGTGGGGTCTGACCATGGCTGTGTGCAGCATCTCAACAGAGCTGTGCGGTCTCTCCAGGGTTGTGCAGCGTCTCAGCAGGGATGTGTGCAGCCTCACCAGGGCTGTGTGCAGTGTCTCACCAGTGCTGTGTGCGGTATGTCACCAGGGCTGCGCGTGGCGTGCCCCCAGGGCTGTGTGCAGCGTTTCACCAGGGCTGTGTACGGCGCGTCACCAAGGCTGTGTGCAGAATGTCACCAGGGCTGTGCTGTGTGTCACCAGGGCTGTGCAGCGTGCATGTCACCAGGACTGTGTGTGGTGTGTCACTAGGGCTGTGCGGAGTGTCACAAGGGCTGTGCAGAGTGCATGTCACCAGGGCTGTGTGGCATGTCCCCAGGGTTGTGCAGTGTGTCCCTAGGGCTGTGTGCAGCCTCTCATTTTGGCTGTGTGGCTTCTCGTGGGTGGGCATTGTGCTGGTATTGGCGCTTAGTATAGGGGCATTTTCACGAGTATGAGTACTTGTGAAAATGCCCAATATCAGCATCGGTACATTGGTACTGGTATTGGTATCGGTGCATCCCTAATAAATACAGTACATACATTTTTTTTAATTGCTGCTACAAGATGCTTTGTCTACTGCCAGCTGTAGATGGTTGTAGCAACAATGCATGTAATATTGTAAAGGTGCACTGGAAGAAGGTTTGAGAGCAAATGGTACTCAACTGCCCTACTGATTACAAACTCCAAAAGAGGCAAGTGATAGTTCTACAAAGCATGGAAGGGTTCTTCTTTAAGGGATCCAGACCATTCATTTCATCAATCAACTACAATCTTCCCATAAGATTACATGTGCATCTAATATATTTTATTCATGTTTTTGTTGCAAACATTACATATCTCCCGCTTTCTAGCTTCATTTTCTTGCCTGCTTTTTCTATCCCTGCCATTCTTCTTCCCAGATGGATTATGAAAGACCTGGGGCACCCAGGGGAGAGGCGGCACTTGTAGTGTACGCCAAATAGTGGGTATGGCCAAATTACATTAGCAATCAGAGGGGCTTAGAGGGACATGGTTAAAACCTGAGCCTGCTTGTTGAATACAGGGCATACATACTTTACAATCCTTGTACTCAAGCAATACAGCTCAGGGGTGTGTAATGCACAATATGCAGGGTTTAGGAGTGCGTAATACACAGAGTACAGGGCTCAGGAGTGTGTATCACCCAAAGTACAGGACTTGGATGTATAACATATGCACAGCAGGGCACCAGCCTGCATATCAAACAGAGTACCTGAGTCTGGGGTACATAAAACACAGAGTGCAAGGGTCAAGACTATGCAACACACATGCCAGTGTACAGAATATAACCAAAAATTACCCCCAACCAATACAGTTCCCCTTCTTCCGGACCCCAAGATCCCCTCACCAGTACAGATTCTTGCCAGTACAGTTCCACTAATATAGTGCAACTTACTAGTCCATAGAGCTGCATTAATTTCCTTTTTTCAGGCTATGAAAGCTTTCAGCAAGTACACAAAATACCTGTGGATCTTGCCAGAAATGCTGTGCCCTTGTCACTTACTGTGAGCTGAAAAGAAGGATGTTATCTTCATTGTGTAAACCACTAGTCCCATCAATCTAACGTGTAATGGAGATGAACAAAGGCAGACAAAGTCCAACCTGTTTGAAAACCGTGACCACTTCTATAGATGCAATGTAAAAATGAGCGTAGCCACGAAGGGACAGGAAGTGTGTTACCTGCAGGATTACTAAGTTAAAAAAAAAGGGTAAAGTACTGAAAAAAGGGAAAGAATGCAGCCTCTACTTCTAAGGACTGGTGAGCTGCTACATATTGTCTTTCTGTTTCTGGGTTTAGATTTTAGGATACACTAAATGCCAGGCTATGCATTCTCTGCATTAAGGTTAAAAATACCCCAGTACCTTTCCATGCCCCCAGTCCCCAAACATTTGACTGCAGTCCCTTTTCATCACCCCTGGGTCCAGGAATATTTAAACCGTTGCTGGAAGTGGTGGAGGTAGGTATGGAGGTGTTCCGAGTTGTGGAGTACGGAGGGCAGTGGAGTGATTGTCTCCTGTTACCATTCGTCAAAATGCTTGGAGGAGGGGCATGGCTTGCCGGGTGCTGTGTCTATCTATGGATGCACATAGCTAGGTTCAGGTCCCGGCCGGGAACGTGCACACACAGGTGTCTCCATAACAGCCCACTAGTTTAAAGAACAATCAAGAATGGAAGTGGACACCATCAGTGACAGTAGAGTCCAAGAAGGCTTTTTATTCATGAAAGGTCAACAGAGTAAAAACAGTTACTTGTTGAGCTCTTGGATTTTGCTGTCACTAGTGGTATCCCCTTCCTTTCTTGATTGTTACTGCTCAAGAATCCTTCCTGGAGGTCCTGTGGGGAGCAGTCTTACCTGAATGTGTGAAAATCTAAGATGAGATAATCATCTCCATTATGGGATGTCAAAGGCAAGACCTCTTAGCACCTTTCTTCCTACATACTGACTAGCTAAAGGAGACATCCACAAACAGTCAGGGAGGACAGTGGTTTGGAAACAAGCTAGGAAGAAGGAAAGAGTCAATATGAAAGAAGAACAATCAGCTAATATAAGTGTGGAGCATCTCTCTTCCTAAAAGAATCCAAGGGTTTAATATCACTTATAGAACCTGATTACAGCGGAATGTATAGACAAAGAGGCAATTTGCATTGAATGTCTTTGAAGTTTATTAAGTTTAGAAGTACAGAGCATATTCTTAATTGATACAAAATATCCATTATGGGGTGCGCTCCATAAACCTTTGTTATCCTATAATAAATAAATATAAAAAGCTGAAGTAACAAAGCAGGCACCTCTACTGTACACCGAAAGAGCAGGATATCAGAGCAGTACAAAGTAAGCATTAACAGGATGTTTAGTGGCGTTTATATTAAGTAGCTTTATATATGATGTAACCAATAACAGAAACAGAAAAATAACTATGATACAAGATTCCTTCATAACTTCGCTCTTGGAGAGCCTTGGGGGTTGACGTTATGACGAAGCCTCATGGTGATCAGGGTGGTTGTAGTCTTGGAGAGGTTACATCAGCTTCACCAAGATCCAGGAGAAAAGCAGAGCAGGCAAAGTCCAGGGCATGGAGAAACCTAGGACAAGACATAAGTCATATTATAAATGTAGCATGAAGGGTTGTCAACTTTTAAAGGAAGGTGTTCTATTCATATGAGAATTCCTATGTTTTCATTGAAGTTGCAGTCTGTGGAAAGTCAACTTTTATACCAGATTTTAACAATGTGACCTTTAGCATTGAGTATTTAAAGTGTATGTCCAGCCATTACTTTTATTTTTGGATAGAGTGGCAATAAAATTGATCCCCTGTCAGATTTGCTGATATAGGGTGTCATTAGAGAGATTTACCCTCATTTACTGTCATGGTGACAATGGTTTCACCAGACAGAAAATAAGGAAAAATCTGAAACAAGAGCACAGACAATCTGACAGGGGATCTAGCCTTCCCCTGCTCTACTTAGTCCTTCTCTTCTCTATCCAAGGCTAAAAAAAAGTTTTAGCTGGTCGTGCACATTAACAATGAGATCACCCTCCCAAAAGTGAAGTCCGGTTGGGGTCACTGACATCAATAAATACCAGACAAAAAAAACATTTAATGCACATACAATGATGCTGGGGTCACAGAGCATTATGAGTTTTCTAAAGGCAGCACAACTGAAGCTGTTTTCCTTCAGACTGTCTCTCTCTAATTGAAAACCTTTGTTCTGAGGCACTGCAACATATGCTTTTTAGTAAAACTAATATAAAAATGCATTGAAATATCTAGATTGAGATATAACCCATAGTCACAGGCATTGATAAAATTTAGGCAGGTGTACTGGTTGAAAATAACGGGACAATTTGGTGACTTTATATATCTCTGTGGGGGGTTTAATATTGTTGTGGCCGGCAACAGGAATCTACCTAGGCTCCAAAGGAGACATTTTTGCTTTGCTGATTGGTAGGCAATCTGGAGACCTGCATGCAATCATGCTGGCTAGGAGCATGCAGGTCGGTAGTATAGGAGAAGAGGGCAGAGTGAAAAGAAGGTGACCTTATTGGTGTGATAATGCTCCTTCACTGCCAAACTGGCAGACTGGGGGTGGGGAGAGGACACCACTGTAATAGAGGAAAGAGCTGCCAGCTTTCTGGTTGTGCTGTGTGCCAGAGCTGTGTAAATCACAATATTGGATGGACAGACATCTGTGAATTGAGATGTTTGCCTGCAGTTTAGCATGAAGATGTTTATCTATGCCAGTTCCTGATCAGTGATGTGCCATTAAAAAAAAACATTAAAATGAAATTAAAATGTACTTACTGCTAGCAGAACTGAAATCTGCAAAGCGTTCGGCTGGAAATCAAAAATACATATTTGTTAATTGGAGACATGAAACTGAACTGATACTCATTCTACAGCAGATATCATATTCACTGTATTCTGCAAACATTGTGTTATAGTATATGTACATCGTAACATGTCACTTCTCTGCTGTGTTCCCTTTTGGTCTATTCAATACACCAACAAATGTTGATCTTGCCAAAAATTTAGAGCTGCCCTGTGTCCTTCTGGCACTTCCTGTGTTATCTCAAGGAGTCTAATCAGCACTCCCAGTTCTTATTGTGGACTACAAACCCACCTCCTCCCTACGTTGGCACTACACGGATTCTTTAGTTGTGCACAAGACAACTGGGCAGAGCTGACACAATTTCTCTCTTACTTCCTGTTCAGGTGACAGGTGTCAGACAGAACAGGAAGTGAGGGAAACCCCCCTTCCCTAAGGGAACAAAGACAGCAGTTATAACTTGACAGATGTTTTAGCCCTCCATCGCTTTATCCAAATTGTTAAAAAAAAAAGTTTTGCCAGAAGTTGGGCTTTAATCTATGTGAACTGAAGAATTACTGTTACAACACTGCCAACATGAGATCACTTACATGGTTGCAAAATGACACTGACGGTTGCTCCACCGTCCTCGGATTTAGCTGATTTGGATTGAGCGGTGCAGACCTGAAACGAAAATAATAAAGGTAGTTCAGCAACATTTTCCGGGCATCAAGTGAAATCTATCAAGGAACTACAAATTCTATCCAGGACACACTGCAGCTATGTTAAAATCACAAAGTCCACTTCTTGCTTTTTAATATGAGCTCTGTGCTTTCCCCACAGCGGACAATGGGGGGGTTGGGGGGGGGGTGGTCAACTACACATCAAGTTCTCTCATCACTCTGATGGTGATACTTCCCTAAGATAGGTTGCATTTCCTCCTTCCTCCACATTGGCTTCACAAAGGTTTCAGTCTTTTAAAGCTGTATTCCCCAATTGCTTTTTGATTCAACTTAACCAGAAAATGGTGTACATCGGAATCTGGCCTACATGACTGGAATCTGATCTACATGAGTGGAATCTGGCCTACATGACTGGTATCTGATCTACATGAGTGGAATCTGGCCTACATGACTGGAATCTGATCTACATGAGTGGAATCTGGTCTACATGACTGGAATCTGATCTACATGACTGGAATCTGATCTACATGACTGGAATCTGATCTACATGACTGGAATCTGGTCTACATGACTGGAATCTGATCTACATGAGTGGAATCTGATCTACATGACTGGAATCTGATCTACATGAGTGGACTCTGGTCTACATGACTGGAATCTGATCTACATGAGTGGAATCTGGTCTACATGACTGGAATCTGATCTACATGACTGGAATCTGGTCTATATGAGTGGAATCTGGTCTACATGACTGGAATCTGGGGCCCGGCCAGCCTCACTGGTCTATATGAGTGGAATCTGGTTTACATGACTGGAATCTGGTCTACATGACTGCAATCTGGTCTACATGACTGGAATCTGGTCTACATGACTAGAATCTGGTCTACATAACTGCAATCTGATCTACATGACCAGGGCCGCCATCAGGGGGGTACGGCCGACACTCAAGTAAGGGGCCCGGCCAGCCTCAGGGGTCTGCGAACCTTACCTGGGTGACGGCCGTACAGGTGACTGAAGGCGGCTGGGCCCCCGCAGCACCGGAGGAAGCCGGGGCCCGTACACTCTACATCGTAACCTCGGATGCTGTGCGAGCCTCCGAAGTCCCCCCTGTGCTACTCGCGGCGGCCATCTTTAAACCTGGCAAGTGCCCACATCCCATTTAATATATTGCAGAAACGGAAATATATTAAATGAAAATCATTCCCTTGTGGGGAATCAGTATGATCTGCATCTCTTGCTGATGCAGACCATACTGATCGCTCCCTCATGGTGCCTCTGCTAACATGCAGGGAGCGATTAGTATGTCTGCACCAGCCAGAGTGCAGAGCACACTGATTCTTCAATGAAGCCCAGGGATGCAGCCCCCCTTCCTGCAAAACAGGTAAGCAGGAGAGGGGGACATTTTTTAATGAACTACTATTAGTTGTGAGAGTGTGTTTTATTGTGTGTTTTTAATGAGTGTGTCTACTGAAACTAATTTCATACCATTTTTTGGGGGACTCATAGAGCTTTCGTTTGGTGGTGTTTAACCATATATTATAACATGACTGAAATCTGGTCTACATAGCCGGAATCTGGACTACATGAGTGTAATTTTGTCTGCTTGACTAGTCTGGTCTACATGACTAGAATCTGGTCTACAGTGCCGGAATCTGGACTACATGATCAGATTTTCAAACTGAGTTGCGGGGCCACCCTACTGACCATGCCAACATTTTGTGTCAGCTATGATGGGGGTGGGGTAGGGTGTTGGAGCCAATTGACCAGCTGCAAATTCACTCTGCACATGGCAAGTTTTCATGCAAAAACTCTCAGAGTTAAGAAATTATATCACTCATTTGTCAGAAACGAGACTTCAGGATACTTGCGTGTACATACGGCCAGGCCACTGGGATCTAAAATCAGGTTATCAGAAGGATGGAGAGATTTTAAACATACTTAAATAGCAGACAATCAATATATCAAATAAATGCTTTTTCTATCCCCTAACATGGCACCCTCAGGCCAGTGGCAGCACATCCAGGGCTAGAAATTGCCTTGGGCTATGAGGGCTCCTTGGAATCAATGGGCCAAATGGACAGCTGACTGTTTTTCCCATATTGCTCAAGAAGCCATTGCTGCTCTTTCAGGCATAGGAATCACAGAACATCCTCTTTGTGTATATTGAGTCTTACCGGGACACAATTATCTGTGGCTTTGCAGACTACAACATCGGCAGAGAGACGGATATTGGTAGAACCAGTAATCTGGAAGACTTTCATTTGAAACCGAGCTTCAGTTGCATTTCCATTGTATAGCACGGATAGCAGGTCAGCAGTTATACCGGTAGCTGGGCACCTGGATATAGAAACAGTTTTCAATTACTGTAGTCTGTATTCTAAAGAGTAGAACACAATACTGAATACAGAATATTCAAAGTGTACAAAGAACCCACAGAATTGTTTCCTAGTGTTCTGCGTACTAACCCATTCTCCAGAAGATTGTACTGGGTCGTATTTGATGCATCGCCAGTGGCATAAATCTTTACCACTTTGAGTCTAAAGGAGTTAAAATCCAGGCCTGGTATGTTCACTGAAATGTAGATAGTATTTTCTACGTACAGTTGATAATCAGCTGAGAGAACGGTAGTAAAGGTGTCCTCTGTATAGGCCACCATGTTAACTGTAAAACTTGCGCTTGATCCAGGAACGGTTATTTCTGTGCTCCTGGAAAAGAAAGACAAAACAAAAGCTCACTTGCCAGGAAACCCTTGTAGGTAAGCGTGCATGCATCTATGTTATTGCACATGGGTATGCAGAACTGAAATATTAGCACTTGTGGTGTACTAATGAAAGTGGTGAAGCTGATATACAAATGGAGGACGATATGATTTGGGACAGATGGCTTACACCCACTTATCCTCAAAGACTCAGTTCTAGCCAAGCTTTTGTTTCAATCTTTTTGAGATGTGGCGCAAGACAATTGTGGCGCCATTATTCAAGAAGGGGTTATGGTCTTCTCCCAGTTACTACAGACCTGTAAGTGTAACTTCTTCTGTAGGGGAGAAACTTGAAGGTGTGCTAAAGGACCACATACAAGAGTAATGTGCTAGAATGCAATAATCATAAGAGATAGCCAGCATGGACTTCTGAAAGATTGAAGATAAATAATAACAATTACCCAATAGTTGGGTTCAGTGAAAAATTAAGACCGACGTTATTTATATCCAGCGGGTATGTGCAGGAAATGTTCAAGACAACATTGTTTCGTGCTTGAACTGGAACCGTCCAGGCAGAAATATACAGCCGATTACTGTATATGACATGGGTCGTGTTTGACTGTAGAGAGAGGAAACACAAAAGTAATTAAACAGAGTCAGAGAACTTACCACCCTACAGCTACCTACACATCAGCAAATAGTTACTATTAATGTCATTGTATTCTCTGACAAGTCAAAAAGGAAGTCTCCAGTTTGGTTGAAGCAGAACTCCAGCCAAAAACAACTAAATAAAAAAGAATAGCAGATAAAATAAATAAAACAGCTTTTTCTGTAATATTCAACTTCAATCTACAGTTTTCCCCTGCAGCACTTTTTTCTGACAGTAGATGTCTCCAGCATGATGTCTAGCATCATTGAACCCACTGCCTGTGAGCCCAGGTCATCCTGGAGCCACCTGCAAGCCTGTCACTGGACAGTGAAATGAGAAGCTGCAGACTGCTGAGCTAATTTCTCTGTCACTCTGCTCTCTCTTTGTATCAACATGACCTGATTGGCTCATTGTGCTGCTTCTCCCTTTGCCAGTATGAGCTCTGATGTACATATTCAGATACTTACACTGTTTGCATTCAACAAATACATCCAATGACTACAGAGCTGCATTATTTGTGTTGTTTATATCTGCCTGGAGTTCAGCTTTAAAAATATTTTATTATATTAGAACTTGTATACGTTAAATATTTCTTAAACGAACCATACTATAATCTTCCCCGTTGTCACATTCCACTGCACTTGTTCTATCATTATGAAAACATTTCCATCCAATTAGAACTAATTAAATTATTTGGAGGGGTGGTAAAGAATCTTCAACATTACAGAACACGTCAAGCTGAATGTGATTTAACTATTGCTAGCTCTGCCATAGCTTAGATAAATGACGATGTATACAAATGTCAGTGTTCATTTCAATCTGCAGCAAACCACGAGCTCTATAAAGGCCAGAAGACTTCAAACTTCTTTTTGTTACTGCCATGGCAATAATTATTCAGCTTAAAGCCGAACTGCAGAATTAAAAAGAATGAACCCATGCAGTGGGGCTACCCCCAGCACTGCAAGGGCTAACTGCTCTTTTGTCTAGGGGCTTAAAATAAAAAAAATATATTAATCCGATCCTCAATCCTACCTGGCCGCTAGACCAGTCCCCTCAGTCTCTTCTTCCCCAGGCACCAGTGGTCCAAGGACCCGTGACATCATCACATCTAATACAGGTCTATTAGACATGAAGATGCCGAGGGATATACCACAGCCGGAGTGGAGTTGGAGAGAGGTGAGCGGTCACTGCCGCAGGACCAAGGATTGGGCGAATATTTCTTACTTTTACCCCCAGCGAAAAAATGAGCAGTTAACCCTTGCAGTGCCGGGGTAGCCCCACTGCAAAGGTTAACATTGAAAAATCCTGGAGTTCTTCTTTAATGACACTTTCTCCCTGGGATCATGACCTCCAGCCTTCCAAAGCTGTCTTAAAGTCCTGGAAATCTGACTCAATGTGTTCTGCTGAGCCTGGGGGGACTATAATCCCGGGAGTGAGCTTGGAGCGGTGACTACTTTACAACATACACAACACAACACTTCCTTCTGAAGGTATCCCCCCTCCAGAAGGAAGGACAGTGTCAGCACCAATTCAGAAATGATTTGAGGATCTACAGCCGAGTGATACACAAATAAGATACATTTTTGTTAATCATTAATGTACTTGAATGTATTTTTAAGATTCAACTCGAGTTTAGTGTCACTTTAACAATGTAACAGTTTTTACATCTCTTGTATAATAACAAATAGTCAAACTGTGCCAGGAAACTTACCTCAGAAGTAGTGCCGCAATCATTAGTGACCAGTGGTTGATGAAGACCCATCTGCGCTATTCCATTCACAACCTCTCTTTGGGCCACACAACTGGCGCTTTCTAGCCTTATATCTGATGTATTAAAACGGTTTTCTTCCAGCCAGCACTTTGGCACCAGTATATTAAATTTTCCTCCATCACAAGTAACATTTGGAGATGGATTGGCAGCTGAAAAAAGAGTAAATGCATTCAGCAATTATCAGATGAGAAGGTGATGGTGACGTACATGTTGAACGTTATCTTTAAAATGTCTTTTAAACTTTTCTCCCCTACATAACTCTATAGGAGTTTTCTATGTTTAGAATGACACGAGTGGCCAGGGACTGGGGAGAAATATAAATGCCATAACGTCTATGGGGGTCTATAGAGGTGTACTTATAAAAAGCTTGCTCTGCAAATGTCTGTGTTGTAGAGTAACACTGCATTATGGCCACTAGATAAAGCTGAGGAACATGCTGGAGGAATTTCCTGACTCTGACAGCCAGATGGCATGGCTTGCATAAAGATGCATAAAGAGATTTGTATTTTCAGCACAGCTGGCGTGCCTAAGTTGCTTACCCCTAGTCAGGGGCGTAACTAGAAATCACAGGGCCCCATAGCAAAATCTTGTATGGGGCCCTGTGATTTCTAGGTAAGTCCACCCAAACAGCCCACCTGAGGGTGACCCTGCAGAGCCCACCATAGACTCTCTATGGTGAGCTCTGCAGGGTCTCAGGTGGGCGGTCAAGCCCTCTTACCTGTCTGGCCGATCCCCTGTCCGCCTCCTTCTCCTTCATGATCGCGTGCGGGCCCCGCCTCCTCCGACACTGGGCCCCACCTCCTCGATCGCCGGGCCCGCCTTCCCACCGCTCAGACCTGTCTCTTCGATCGCTGGGCCCCGCCTCCTCCATTGCTGCCGACGACGGGCCCAGCCACCTCCCCCGAAGATGCTGGTTGTCATCGACTCAGCAGCTGTGAGGAGGGACGCGCCGCTGCACATGTGAATGGCTGCGTGTTTCTCCTCACAGCCGCCAGTGACAGTCAGCAGCCTGAAATGCCATAGCGACCCAGGCGGCCCACACGGCATCAGGGGGATGTCCTGGCCGGGCCCCCTTGTGCCCCGGGCCCCCATATCGGCCAACTGGGTTGCTATGGTGATTGTTACGCCACTGCCCCTAGAATAGGGAGTACACAGGAGTCTATTTAGGATTTCATCTCTACAGACCCCTCCAAACCACAAAACTGGGAGCAAAAATTGATTGTTCCTTACAGTACAAGATAATCCCAAAAGCAATATTTTGGCTTTGAACCCCTTCTGACCATTGTATTATAGCATACCATACCTGAATATGTATAGTAAGTGTTATTGCACAGGCAGTCAGTGGCACCGCTGTTACAAGCCTCATCAATTGCACAGGTGACACTTCCACAAGTTAAAGATGCAGTCACTGGAGAGACAGAAAAAAGACATCAGTACATCTGAAGGCTTCTATATGGCAGTCTAAACATGTCTTGAATCCAGTTATTATGTGACACAAGTGCCTCAGAGTAACAGAAAACTTTTTTTACCTTCTTTGACTCACACTCCCCCCTCCCAGACACTGCAGCTCACAGTAGGATGGTTGCAGCAGCACAGTAAGTTCTGCCAATCCAGAAAGCATTGGACAGGACTAGGTGTGGCCAGTTGATGATTGACAAGCTACAGTCTTTGAAATTTGCAAACACAATACTGATAGCCATGCCCCCTGCATCATCCTCTCATCCTACTGAAGTGTATGCAGAAACAGCCTACATGAAGGTGACAACTCTTCTCTGAATTCAGGAGCAGTGCAGCAGCGTTGTGCCACCATCACAGGAAGCTGCATTAGGTGGACGTCACTGGCAGGATCAACAGGTATATGTGGGACTTTGCAGGGGGGGGGGGGAAAAGGGGATTAAGAGAAAACTGCAAGCGCCGATGTATTTATAATTAAATTCTGCAGCGCATATTTTTTTATAATGGAAGGCCATAGTACTACTTCAAACTATTATTCTGGCATATACTCCTAGTTAAGGTCTATGTTAACACAAAGAATATTCTTTACTCATTTGCTCCCTTTTGGTCCGATAAATATACCATTGAAAACATTTTATTATATCTGTTCTAGGTATGCAAAGAACACCCATTGATCCTGCCAGAAATCTTGTTAGCTGATAATGTCCTGTACTCTCTGCCTGTGCTGCACTTTTATCAGTTACTTTGTTCCCAGGTATCCCCGTAGACTACAGAATCACACCCATCTATGTTATGGAGAAGAAGAGAGGAGGAGGTGGCTCTGATACAAAAAGGTTAAGTGAGCGTTGTCACCCTGGGACAGGAAGTGTGTTACTGTCAGAATCACCAGATGAAAAGAAAAACAGAAAACGTATGCAGCCACCACATGTAAGAACTGATAAGCTGCGACATATTACGTTTTGTTCTTGGGTTTAGATCCACTTTAGGAGGAGAAAGGATCCCCCTGGCTGTTTCTCTGTTTGTTTCACCTTCCCTGATCGTACCCTCCAATCTGACACCTCAGTTTTACAAATATCGCTGTCTCTGTATTCCAGATGTGCTATTGTAATGTACAAAAGGAGATAAAGAGCACTCACCTGCCATGGCAGCGCACAATACAGATAGCAGCAGTGCAGTCTTCATGGTTAACAGGGACCCTGGAAAATACATCCTATGTGAGTCACCCATAAAAAGGAAAAGCTTCCACATGGCTTTTTACATTAACATTATACTGTATAGCTATGTAGCTCTCTCTAATACACACACACACACACACACACATATAGTTTAGTGATGTGTTAAGTCCCTAAGTGACACCTGAGCATTTTGTTGTTTCCCAAAACTCAGCATGAAGATTCTCATTCTTCTTAGGGCTCATTCACACGAGTGTGCGCATCCCTACGGCATGCACACCCCTGCAGAGACCAGTTCTGAGGAGAGACAGGTGATGCATGTAATTGAGTGTACATCCCTATGGGAAGACGTGGCTTGCACACCGACCTGAACCTGCACATCCATACAAATCCGGGTGCCTGCACTTGGACACACACTGTCTGCGTCCAAGTGTGGGCACCCGGACCAAATGAAAATACTCAACCTGAAAATCACTGTGAATGGGGACTTATACAATATAGCTCAAATAAAGTTAAAAAAAAAAAAAAGAAAAGAAATCTATTTACAGTATATTCCAATATTCATAATTATAATACATTATGTAACAAACCCAAATTTAACAATACTTTGAGAAGAAAACATAATATAAGGCAAAGGATGTCACACTGTTAGAGGATGAGCTGTCTAAAATACCTATAAACAACCAATAAGACTCAAACCTGCAATGGTCATATATGCAAGAAGCTGATTTTAGATCTACCAGCTATGACGTCCAAGGGTCTACCTGACTGGATACAAACTGAATGCATATTTAAGTAGCCCGTATATTAAATGGTTTGGTAAACCTAAAGCTCACCACACACACATTGCATAGTTGCATAGTTACATAGTATTTGAGGTTGAATAAAGTCCATCAAGTCCAACCTATTGCGTGTATGCATTTATGTTTGAGCAGGTGTGTGCATGTGTATGAGTCCACTCAACGTGCCTGATTTTAAACATTATTACAAAGCAGCTCAATTAGTTTGGTTCCTAGACTGGACGTTCAATGCCTCCCATAAAGGATGGGTGACATTAGAAGTAGACTTGAGTAATACCCACCTCAAATATTTTGAAAATCTTTAATAAACATTTAATATGTAAAAAATGTGTATGAGTCCATGTGTGATTTTGCTCTTAGGAGTACCTGTACCCCTGTATGTTATGGTCTCCGAGGAACTCGTCCAGGAGTTTCTTGAATGATTCCACACTCTTAGCTGAAATCGCTTCCTGTGGCAGCGAGTTCCAGACCTTAACCGCTCTAACTGTGAAGAACCCCTTGCGCCCTGTGTGTTGAAATTTTTTTTCCACCAATTTTTGGTTATGCCCTCTGGTCTTTGTTACAGAGCTAACCGTAAACAGTTTGGTAATAATGTTGCTGTCACCATTGAACACTTTATACAAGAAAATCATGCCCCCCCTTAATCTCCTAACCTCCAAAGAGAACATATTTAATTTTAACAACCTTGTTTCATAGTTCAGATCCTCGAACCCCTTAATGAGTTTGGTTGCCCTCCGCTGGATTTTTTCCAGCTCAAGGACATCTTTCCTGAGTATCGGTGACCAAAACTGGACCGCATACTCCAGATGTGGCTGAACCAGTGATCTGTAAAGTGGCACAATTATAGATTTGTCCCTGCAATACATCCCCTTCTTAATGCCAAACAGGTATCTGCTTGCTTTGTTTACAGCAGCCTGGCACTGCGAGCTGTTCTCATTGGCATTGCAATCTGACTCTTCAGGCTCCTTTAGATCTACCCACAACTACATGATTGGATACACATTGATTGGATAGTTAGGTAGGTCCTTATATAAAGCAGCTCAGAGGTCATCAAAACCAAAGAATTAAGTTGATGTCCAGTGAACTAGCACTCTAATGAAGAGTCAGCCATGGCAGCCTCCATTACTCCCTATAAATTGGATTATACCAGCAGATTGTAAGGTGTATGCCCAGCCTCAGATAAAGGCATTTATATTCTCATTGTCTTCCATGAGTTGAAAATGACTTAGAAATCAAAGATTTTATACTAACCGACAAGTACGATTTGCAAATGTCCCGGGTCTGTGAGCACCTTCCAGGTACTTGATATCCTTCCAACAAAGTTATCGGTCTCTTGAGCTTCGCTGCTTTAAGGAAAGGCAGTTGGATGGTGATGGTGGCTCTGTGTACAATTACCAGCCGCTCAGCTCCTTATATACTGGTTGGTCCAGATGGAATGCCATGCGTCTGTCTTGCGAACAAAGTAAAAGGTGGAGGTTAGATGACATTTGAAGAAACGGGCCTCTCCCAGTCAGGACTTAGCCCCAAGCTGTCACGGTTTAACTTTAAAGCAATTTTTGTCTTGCTGATGTATTTCTCTTGGGGCGTTTACCATTTATAGCCTGTATGAAAATGTCAGCCTTTTCCATTGCTAAATAATCGACTAGTTTAAATTCTTGTCTAATATCCAACTCCAGCCATTTTTTTAATTTGTTGTTCATCTCTTTTCATTGCCCGTCATCTATTCACAATGGCTGCCTATAAAGGCAGTTTTCGTAGAGTCCGTGTAAATCCTCACAAGGAACATCTTTTATTTACCACCTTTTGGTCTGTTACATATACAATAAAGAGTGTGTTGTTATATCTGCGCTATGCAGTCATCTGTGGAGCTGTGTTGTCAGCCCTGCTAAGTTCCCTTTCGTGACTATAGAACACCTCCCTCTGTGCTATGGAGATGACAGATGAGCTAAAAGCCCATATTACTTAGCTAAATCTGTGATCACTTGATGGCTGAGATCCTGACTCTTCTCCTCTTCCTCCAGAAGAGTAGGAAAGTCCATCCTTGGACATGGACAATTAATGATTTCCAATGGTGGGGTTCTCTCAGAATCCAGGCAACTTCACAATGAGAAGACACCATCACAGTGGGACAGGTTAGTGTTGGCACAGACTATGATCTTCCTCATGGAAGCGTCACCAGCAAGGGACACAGATGGTGAATTTAGATACATGAAATGCGTTGTTCTATGGGATGGATGGGGGGGAATGGGTGGGAAGTATGGGGGGAATGGGTGGGACAGGTATTTTATAATTTATTATAGGGGAACAGTTTTTTTTTTATTTTGGTAATATTAAACACCACCAAAAGAAAGTCCCCAAAAAAATGGTACGAAATTAGTTTCAGTACAGCGTTGCATGATGGAATAAATGTAATTCAAAGTACTACAGCGCTAAATACTGAATACTAAATACTGAAAAATGGCGGGGACAGGAAGGGGGTGTAGCACCGCGGACTTCAAGTGGTTAAAAAAATGTTTTTTTAATTTTTTATTGTTACTTTAATTTTGACAATTTTTTTTCACACTTAGCTTTATTGCTATTACATAGGGGGCTAACAAGTCCGACGGTGAAGGGGGAGGAGGCGGAGGCCTGGCCCAAGCAGCCTAGGGCCCCAGCATTGCCGCTGCAGTGGCTTTGAGACAAGCTAGGGCCCCATCAGCGATGCTGCTCGTCTGATGTCGGACAGGCCGGGCGGGACATCACTTCTGGCTGGTCCGGCGGCAGACGAGGCCATGTGTGCAGGTAAGAGGAGCTAGGAAGGAAGGAGAGAAAGGAAGAAGGGGAAAATCCAGCGTCTATACAGATGCCGGATCGCTTGTATTTAAACAGCAATCATGGTTAAAAAAAGCCACACACATAATGAAACACACATATCACACACATATCACACACACAATGAAACACACATATCACACACACATATCACACACATATCACACTCATTAAAAAACACACACATAGCTTCATTAAAAAAAAAAATGACTCACACTCATTAAAAAACACAATACAACACAATACAACACACTCTCACAACTAATAATAGTTCATTAAAAAATTTCTCCTGCTTACCTGTTTTGCAGGGAGGGGGGCTGCATCCCTGGGCTTCAGTGAAGAATCAGTGTGCTCTGCACTCTGGCTGGTACAGACATATTATTCGCTCCCTGCATGTTAGCAGAGGCACCACGAGGGAGCGATCAGTATGGTCTGCATCAGCAAGAGATGCAGATCATACTGATTCCCCACCAGGGAATGATTTTCATTTAATATATTGCCGTTCCGGCAATATATTAGATGGGATGTGGGCACTTGCCAGGTTTGAAGATGGCCGCCGCTACTCGCAGCGTCAATCTTTAACCAGTTGACATCCGCGGTGTTAAACCCCCTTCCCATCCAGGCCATTTTTCAGTATTCAGCGCTGCGGTACTTTAACTGACATTTATTCCGTCATGCAGCGCTGTACTGAAATGAAAATGTGCAGTGGACACACGGGGGACCCCGGAGGCTCGCACAACATCCGAGGTTACGATGTGGAGTGTGCGGGCCCCGGCTTCCTCCGGTGCTATTTTCTTGTTTATAACAACATTACAATTATGCTTCTAGTACAAAGCACGGCAAAGCTTTGTGTAAATGAGTTAAAACGATTTATTTATTTTTCCATTATTTTTTGTGCATTTTTTGCAGCTGCAGGAGTGAACAAAAAAAGCAATGAAAATGATAAAAAGTTTACCAATAACACAATAGAGAATAAAACAATCTACAAATACATAAAACCTAAGGGGAGAAAGGAGTTAACGGAGAATAAAAACAGGGTTCGATTGAAACAGCTTTTATTAATAAAAAATAGCAAAATCTGGGTGAAACAGACAGTTTGTGCATGATCTTGGTGTGTCTAATAAACTGTAAGTTCATAAGCTCATAGGCATTGTCTGGTGGGGTTTACGCATTTGGTCCTCCCGTGTGGGTACCTACATGCGGTGTGGGGACATCCGCGCACAGTATCCTGACATCTTTTCTCAGGATTAAAGTGTATCTAAAGGCAAAACTTTTTCGTTGTGGATAGAGTGGCGAGGGACTGGAACCTCTATCAGGGTATTTTTTTTTTTTACAGTCAGAATGCTTGACATCGCAGAAAATTACACATGACACAAATTACACATTACAAATGACACAT